CTGAACAGTTCAAATGTTGCCTTCCACTCCCACTACATGGCCCAGATTGCACCAAATCTGAGAAATGCTCTAACAAAGGTAATAATAATTCCAGACGTGAATGTGAATCTCAATCAAAGAGCAGTTGTCGTCGCAATCAAGATACAATCCATATCCAACACGGATGGCATGTTATGTCCTAACTATCCTGTAAATGCCATGACAGAATGATTGCCACACAACATTGTTACATTAAGTTCTTCATATTGTGATTTTGTATATTTTATTGCAGGTTATCAAATATTCTCGTCAGAGATCACCACGATGGATCAGTTCCTCCATTCCACAAGACAACTGGAACACCAAACTAGCCAAGTATAGCTCTGCTGACTACCATGTAAATAATCTGGTCAATCCTGTGCTATTTCAAGAAGCCTTGTCTCATGTACCATCTAATGCTATCACAATTGAAGTCTCTCCTCATTGCCTGCTGCAAGCCATTCTGAAACGCTCTCTCAGTTCAAACTGTGCCTTTATTGGACTAATGAAACGCAACTACCCAAACAATCTTGAATTCTTTTTGTCTAACATTGGGAAATGTTATCTCAATGGAATGACATTAAAAATCAACAAACTATTCCCAGAAGTGCAGTATCCAGTAATGAGAAATACACCATCCATCGCTCCATTGATCCATTGGGATCACTCACAGCAATGGCATGTCCCAAAAGCCAGAGATTTCTCCACAGGAAGTGGGCAAAGTAATGCAATGGTCTCGCACATAATTGGTATGTTTCTATATATATCACTATGAAACACAATCATGTAATATATAGTCAATGCCAGAAAGCTTAAAAAGTCATGGAACATCTTTTTCTTTTTACAATCATTCCTATGGTGAAATTATTTCTTATTTTTTCATGACAGTTTGCTCAGTGACACGTGATGGAAAAGTTAAATTATTGTTGATATGACTTTTAAATTGTTAATTTTCTAGCACTACGAGACTTCCGGTATTACGTGAAATGCGTTTCATTTTGAATTAATATATAAAATCAAATTCATATTTCCATTTCATAGTTAAATGTCGAAATGAGGATTTGAAGAGAAGAATATTGCGTTGATACCCTTTCTTTATCTAAATACAAAGCGTGTAAATACTCCATAAAACAAAAAACAGCACAGGGCACATCACTCACTAACCCTTAACCACCAGTTTCATCCTCTCGGGAGTTCGTCGGTGGACGCACATTTGCAATTATGACCGCCAATGTTTTTATAAAAATCGCCAGAAATATTTCTTTTTTGGCGATATATGCTCAAACCAAACTTTCATGATTATGTGATATGCCCCATGCGTGGAACCCGTATCGCAGCTATACAAACAGTACAATCGAACAATTTGGTTTTCCCCAAATACTCGCAGGCAGACAACGTTTAGCGTGCATATCTCCACGTTTAGTGAAATAAACATAATATATTTTCCTTTCCATTAGATGTATCACCATCATCAGAAGACCATTATCTGCGTGATCACTGCATTGATGGCAGAGTGTTATACCCAGCCACAGGACACCTTCTTCTTGCATGGAAAACTCTGGCTAAAATACGTGGGTTACCATACCAAAAGATTCCAGTGGTCTTTGAAGATTTCACAATACATAGAGCTACAGTTTTGCCTAGTCAAGGTAAGTTTATAATTCGTTCAAGTTCAAAGTTCAAAGGTGAGTTTTATGTTGACATCGTTTTATGAATCTCATAGTTATTTAAAATTACCTTGTGGTACCAAATAAATATATATTGGGTAAAATGCTAAGATGTTTGCAATATGCAAATATTGCTTTCAAAAAAAGATGCATGTTTACATGGTGCTTTTCAGTTTAAGGAATGAAACAGTGTTACAGCCTGGTTACATCCATGATAACTGATTTAAACCACATTTGCCCATCTTTATAAATATTCGTGTATTTACTAGATGGATTATATTGTAACTTATAAATTAATGTGTTGCTTGTCATATTGGTAAATCAGCTTAGTATACCACACTATACTATAAGCTGATATTTTGTTTCCAATCTATGAAAGTAAATAAGGAAGACATAATATCTATATATATTAACGCTCCTTAGCTGATGCTGGTAAGAAAAATTCCCGATCTCAACAGTTACGCATTGTTTAAATTATAGGGGATGTGACTCTAGAAGTGTGTCTAGCACCAACTACAGGAATATTTGAAGTTTCTGAAAGTAATCAGTTATGTGCATCCGGCAAAGTAGAAATCCCTGATGAACCATTGCAACTCCTTGATGTCTTGGAGGACGAGGAAGACACTACAGTAGATACTGAATTATTGGAGTTGTCTGCTAGTGATGTATACAAAGAACTCAGACTTCGAGGATATGATTATGGAGCAACTTTTCAAGGAATAGTCCGGGCGGACAATTCTGGTAAGCACATCTGCTTCACATATTTGCTATTTTTCTGAAAGAAGACCTCAGTACCAAATTAACCAGCTAACTAATTAAGCATTACAATTATTTGTAAGTGTTGTTTTAAGAAACAGTTCTGCAAAGGATAAATACACCACGTGAATTGAACATGCATGCATTTCCAAGCCTTTATAACCATTATCATTATCATTAACCATAACTGTTTTATATGAGTCAATCTGAGAAAAAATACTATGCAGTCTTGTAGTGCAGTTTATAACTGGTGAAGAGAGTCTGCAGAACATTAACCCACTTTATCAAACAAATTTCCATTCATATTATCCTTGTACAGTTTAATCTACAAGGGGGAGTCATTTATAAAGTGTTAAGACAAACTTTACATTATGTTTCCTGGTCACATGTATGTTTCCAATTACCTTGCATTCCCGTATATGCTGATTACTTGTAATGCTTACAGGTAACCATGGATGGCTTACATGGAATGGTAACTGGGTATCTTTTATTGACACAATGATACAAATAAAGATGTTACGACTTAGCCTTAGATTGCCAACAAGAATTAGATCAATCCGAATAGATCCTGTTGAACATCTCAAGAGGGTGATCTGCGAGCAGGGTGGACAGACTGGTAGGTCAATCTAATGTACTGTTCACTAGACAATGTTTTAAAAGGTGCATGCAAGTCCCAGGAACAGTACCGTAGTGCTACAATTGTTTATACAATCAGTGTGTCTCTTCGTAATTTTAATCCAATGAGTACATTGGCTGCAAGGTTGTGCCAGTGATACACTTGACAAGCATGAATCAATTTTTCATTGAACCAGTAATGTACTTGACTAGAATGGCTTTACTCTATTGTAACAGTGATATACTGGACAAGCATGGATTGACTCAATATTGCAGTACGAGCAGTATGGTCGACTATTTTGGATTGACTCCAACTTGTAGATCAGTGATTTGCTGGACTAGCATGAATTCAATATTGCGCCAGTGCTATGCTGGAATAGCTTGGATCGACTCCACATTGTAATAGTGTTATACAGGACTGGACTGGAATAGAATTGAATCTTTGTTGTTCTGTCATATTGTTCTCAGTATTGAACAGGCAGCTAACGTATGAAAAATAGAATCAGATATTACTGTATATGTCAGTTGTCATGCATGTCTTTTTAAAGTTTTCTCATTTGATGGAATATATAATTTCATTTACAGAAGTGAAGGTGACTGTTGGTACATACACTGATAGATGTATTGCTGGTGGCATAGAGATATATGGTCTACATACTACTGTGGCCCCAAGACGTCAATTACAGCAAACTCTGTCAAACTGTGAACGTTATATATTCGTACCATATGATGAAAAACGAATTGTGAGCGATGATCTGCAACTGGTGAATTACCAACAGGTCTGTGAAAAATACGCCCTAGATCTCTTATGTCAGGTCAGGAAAACGCGTCATTATCAAAAGAATATGTTAAACACTGAAAAGTCTAGAATGGTAGTCATTGACGATGTAAAGAAATACATGAATGATCCAGAGTGTGGTCTGATCAAAATCATTCTTACAATCTACAATCTGGAGATAAGTGAATCATTCACTAAAGACGTACAGGATGTATTGAGTCTCAACTCTGATCTGATGCAGAATGATAAGTTACTGAGCATTCTAACTAGTGGGAGATATCTAAAATATTGTCTTGATGTGGTAACGGAGAACATGCCAAGCATGCAGATGAAGATTGTGGAAGTTAGGGGAAGTGGCTTGTACAGCAAAGTGATTCCAATATTAAATTCTTCACAACCAATGCTACAGCTAAAATATATCTTATGTAATCAATCTGAAAAAGTCATGTCGTTGAAAGGGGAGGAGTTTGCTTACACAATGACAAAATGGGATCTTTCCGAATTACCACCTGGTGATGTCAATTCATCAGATCTTGTTATTGCAGAGGGCC